CAGGCCTCACATTCTGACTCTCAACCTGTGGCCTTAACCTCATCCTGCTCATCCAGAGGCTACAAAGTCCTCTAAATTCTGGCAGTTATGTGCCACCCCTACTCTGCCAGTAAGTCCAGCTCTAGCAGAGCTCTGCACTAGCCCTTTAAATCGGCAGCCATAGCTCCTCCTGTAAATGTACATAGGCATCCACCTCAACAGCAAGCACTAAATCGTCTCACTCCATGGGCGGGAGCCCACACCTAGCTTTACTGAAGTCTCTGGTTCTCTGCTACATCAACTGCTGTTACTATTGCTACTGGTGCCACTGCTAACACCTCTGCTACCGTCTTACGTTCTCAACTTCATCCCTTTTTTTAAAATAAAATTTTTAATTGTAATTGTGATTTTAACTAAAGTTTACAGAAAAGTTTTATTTTCATTAATTCATTGTTGCTCATCCCCCCATTTCCTTCCCCCTCCCCCAGTTCACTTAAAAAAAAATTCATTCGTTGTCGCCCAATTGCCTCCCTCTCTCCGCTTCCCCCCAGCCCTCTTTGCAATGTACCACTTATTCTGGGCTGTTGTCATACGTATAATGCCTAATCATATATTCCTTCTAAACAGATGAAATTCTTTCCCTCATCTGTTCCAATGTAATGTTCGTTATCTATTCAACTTATCCTATTCTCCTCCCAACTCGCCAGATTGGACATGCTTTGTAACAATGGTGCTCTTGTACAAGCAGAAATCTGTGGCCCAAAGGACTTAGTGTGCTTTCTGATTCTTCTTTCTCGCTGGAAGTGAGTCTTGTTTTCAGCCTCTGAGCCTGTCTTTCAGCCTGGCAGGATAGCATAACTAACCAATCTCCATGTTAGTGGCCTGAAAATCTATTTGCATGTTGTTGTTGTTGTTGTTGTTGTTAAGTGCCATCGAGTCTTTTGCAACTCAGAGTGCTCCTATGTACAACAGCTCTGAACTCTGCTTTATCCTGAGCCAACCTTGTCTTCCACTCAACTGCCATCATTTGCCTTATTTATGTTATCAGCAAGCTTTTCAATCCCATTGGTGGGACACAAACATCTAATATTTGCATAGCCCTTCCTGTGGTGAGAGCTACCAACCCCACAGCTAAAAGCCGTATTGAATGAACCAGTACAGCACAACTGCTAAACAAAAGGTTTAGATTTAAATTCCCTCAGAAGAAAATCCACTCAGAAGAAAGGCCTGGAAATCTACTTCCAAAAAATCAGCTATTACATCCCCTGCAGAGCATAATTCTATTGTAACACCCGTGGAGTTGCCATGAATCAGAATTGACTAGAGAGCAGTTAGTTAATACTGAGGTACCAAGGTGAAGGGATCATCAATTGCAATTATTTTCCAACTTTCTAACATTCTACAGTTTCTTACCAAACCACCATTAAATTTATTCCAGCTCTGGTGGCCTAGTGGAAAGAATCCCAAAGGTTCGCAGTTCTAATCCACCAGCAGCTCTGCAGGAGAAGGATGGCCAATCTTCCTAGCAATCAACTGCCTCTCAAAATCCCTGGAGGGTCAACTATGAGTCCATACTGCTCAATGGCACACAACAACAACAGGAATCCTACAGGATAAAGTAGAATTGCCCCATAGCGTTTCCAAGGCTGTAAATCTTTGTGGAAGCACATAGTTGCAACTTCCTCCTGAATAGCAGCTGGGAATTCAAACCACCAGCTTTCAATTAGGATCTTAATGCTTTGCTCCCTGTACCACTAGGGCTCCTTGTTGCTCACTCACTCACTGATCTGACATTGAGTTGATTCTGACTCCTAGATACTGTCTGCTGGTTTCTAAAGCTGTTAAGTCTTAACAGTTGGGAATTACTCATTTTTCTCCCATGGAGTAGCTGGAGAATTTGAACTGCTGGAGATCTGACCTGCCTTTTATTTTCCCATGCAATTCACACAATTCACAGAGTAACCAATGTTGATTTCCAGTGATCTATGCCAATTTAGGAGTGCATGCATTTCATGATACTTAGAACTTTAAAAGCCACATCCACATCCTCACTTTCTCATTTAATCTTTACACCAAAATTTTTTTACATAGAAGAGAGGAAATAATTGTGCCCATGTGATGAAGAGAACATTCAGGTTCCAAGGAACTTGAGTAAGTTCAATTTATGATAAGCAGAAAAGGAATTATTTAAAGCAGAATATTTTTATCAGTTAAAACTGATAATGCCATAGTTAACATTATCTATTTCCACTTTACTGAAGAGAAAATGGACATTTTAAAAATTTCACTTCCTCAAGGCCATTTGGCTACTTAACGATGTGAGCTTCAGAGCCAGCTCTATTCACTCGTCCTGCTTTTCTCATTTTTTTATTTATTTTGTTTTCATGACTCCTGTGTCTACCTGAATCCTGTGGTTTCTCACTGCCCCACATGACCTCCAAGAGAGCACACCACTTCCCTGTTGACTAATGCTGTCCACCTCTCACAACATGTTTGTCTCTGTGGGGTGTTGACTCCGTTTTCACCTCTGTGAAGATTCCATCACATACACTTCTGGGATGTTGGCAATAATCACCAAAAAGTATTCTGTGTCATTCTGTGTCTAGTTCTAGTCAATTGTCTTCGGACTTTCTAAAGCTGCCAGAGGGGAATATGGGACAGAAAAGACAAGCTTGTGGTTCCTGCATTGATAACTGGGCTGTCGTTAGTACTTCAGGCTAGCGAAGGGAGAGCCCTGGTCCCTCCTGGGTCCTGCTGCCTCACACATGGCTTATCAAACAAGTGATTCTTGCTTATTGTTTGACTTCAACATTACGATAATGGCAAATCACATCCAGGGGTTATTAGGCAAGAATCTCTTTATTTAAAAAAGCAAGTTCAAATCTGACTGCGTCTTTTTCAACTCTCCAGAGTAGTAGTGTTTGTTTTCCTTTGGTGGCCTACCCAAACGACGACAGCTACCGTCCATGTGCTATTGCAGCAGATGTTTATATTAGCAGCAATGGGGCCAAACCCACAGCCCTGCACTTGTCCTGCTGTGCACTTTTAATGCCCACACTCAGACTTGCCCTTTACGCAAAAAACCACACCATGTCTGTTAGAATTAAACTAATCCATTTTGCTACTCTCAATCCCTTCTCCTAAGGAACTGTACTTTTGACTCTTGCTCTTTTTTTTTTTTTTCCATCTCCTCCTGACAGTTATCTTCCATCTGTGTTCCAGGATGGTGAATACATCCTCTAATATTAAGTAATAAAAAAAAACCAGCCCACTAATGTCAAGTCAATCTTGACTCATCATGACCCTACAGGACAGAATAGAACTACCTTAGAGTCTCCAGTGTTGTAAACTTTGATAGAAACAGACTCCTACAGAAATGCTGATGGTTTTGAACTGTTTTCAGTTCAGTAGCCAAGAACTTTAAAAATTAAGCCATTTAGGCTCCTTGCTTTAAGTATTCTCAAGGTTTTCTCATTGCTATCCAGTCAACATCAACTCATAGCTGACCCTCCAGTGGATTTTCAGAGTCAGAGGCTGGAAATAGCATGGAAGAAGACCTCTCATCTTTCTCCTGTGGGGCACCTGGTAGATTTGAACCACTTACCTTTGGAGAGGGAGTTTAACTCCTTACCACTAAGCAAGCCACCAGCATGTGCTTCTTTTAAGGAGTCCTGTTTGTGTTGTGTACCATTGAGTCCGTACTTAGAACTGTTCCTCCTCCTTTGTGTTTCCATACTTGAGGGTTCCACCTCAGTT